AGGCCTCATTGAGACAAAAAGCTTTTAACACGACTTCCATAGACGAAATACCTTCAAAAGGTCTTTTATAGGCCAAATATCTTCCAAAGGTCTTCTCGTAAGCTCTATTATTAATAGAAGACCTTCTGACAGAAATCTGATAGAATTCAAAACACGTTTTTAAAACTAATGACCTTATTGAGATACAAAGCGTTTAAAGCGGCTTAGCCTAGACGGAAGTCCTTCAGAAGGTCTATATGCAGACCGTTTGAAGATTTTCTATGCGCAGAATATCGTCCTCGGTTAGTCGAAGATTCTCCAAAATATAGATATAATATATAATATAATACCCTAATAAAGATAGAATACCCTATGGAAATCTTCTACGTTAAAGTTACTTCCGATGGCCTCTTTTGAATGACAAGATATAGACAGAAGGCCTTCAAAGGGTCTTCGATAGTTCTCTGACAGACAGAACACTTTCTATTGGTCTTCTATACAAAAGACATTCTAAAGGTCTTCTATAAACAAAGAACTTTCTGAATAGTTTCTTTGGAGAGAAGATCTACTAAAGATCTATAAATAGAGGAACTTCTGATTTTTTCTACCTTGTAGAGGTATATTATGGTTAGAAGACTTTGTGAAGATTTTGTGAAGACAGAAGACCTTTTAAATGTCTTTTTTGTGACTGAAAATCTCCTGACGGTATCTTATAAAATATCTTCTAAATATGTTTTATATACAGGAGACCTTCTGAAGGTCTTCTTTAACTGGAAGATTTTTTCTGGAGGTATTCTATAAACAGAAAACCTACTATATGTACTCCTTCAATAGAAGACCATCTAAAGGCAATATAAGGCCATCTGAACATCTTCTACAAATGGAAGATATTTTTGAGGTCCTCTACAGATGATCAGCGTCAAAGTTTTTACTCGGTATAAATTTAGGATCTCTTTGTATTTCTCTTTGATTTCGTTTCACTCAGCATAAATATTTTAATTAATGGTGTTGTTCTTCTCTCAATTGTTTTTTTTTTCCTGAGTTCACACTTTGAGATAAACTTTTTTTTAATTTTTTTCTTTTTGTAATGGAGAAAGCCACAACTTTTTTCCAAACAACTCGAAACCCAAAATTACGAAAAAAATGTATACAAATTGTCAATCACCATTTGAATGATTGAAAACGAAACAAGAAAATCTTGGCAGATTTACAAGAATTTGTTTGTTTAAAAAAAAAAAAGAAAACTGTCTGCCGCCTTTGGTGAAATGCCACAATGCATTCACACGCACACACACCATGCGTGTCTGTCTGTGTGCCTTTGTATTAGCTTGGCGTACGTTAAGCAGAAAGTATCTTTCATTAACATTTTTTCGAAATTCCGTTCAATGCTAGACGAAGGTAATATCGATTGGATTTAGTTGTGTTGTGTAAAATTCAAGTTCTGTGTTGAATGTTTGTAAAGCAGTGATTTGAAATCGACGAACCCAGCAAACCAAATCGAGAGAGTTGGGGGTTGAACTCGGAGAAATTTGAAAAGATTTGTGTGGAATTTTCACCGAAATTTTTATGGAGTGTTTGACCCATTCGAAGTGAATACCGACTACCCTGGCAAAAAGCTCATTAGTAATAATTTACAAATAACCATCCTACATCGTTATTCTAGAACATAAGTACTTACTAAACTGCCATAGGAAATAAGAGTCAATAAATAAATAACTGGAATTCGAACTAGTTACCTCAGGTTTTGTGGTCGGAAGTGTTAACTCTGTGCCGCCGTTACTTATTACTTCGAATGATAAAATTATTAAGTTATTTTGCCTTGCATTTCTATACCCTCCACCATAGTATGGAGGGTATATTAAGTTTGTCATTCCGTTTGTAACACCTCGAAATATACATTTTAGACCCCTCAAAGTATATATTTTCTGGATCAGCATAGATTCTATGTCAATTCTATGTCCGTCCGTCTTTGAAAATCACTGTAGCTTCCGAACGAAATGAAGTAGGTTGATAAAATTTTACTCAAATGTATATTATGTCTGCAGGACTTTTAGTATTGAAAATGGGCCATGTAGGTCCACGTTTTGATATAGCCCCCATATAACGGTACCTCCCGATATTCGGTTTTTTGATTATTTTAGAGTCATTATTCACCGGAATTGTTTCAAATTTGGTATTTGAAGTTCGTAATGGATACTATAGCCTAACAAAGAATATTGTCCGATGCCTCCCGATATTCGGTATTTTGATTATTATAGCGACATTATTCACCGGAATAGTTTCAAATTTGGCATTTGAAGTTCATAATGGATACGACAGCCTATGACAGAGAATTGCCTGTGTAGATCCACGTTTTCGTATAGCCCTCATACAACGGTACCTCCCGATATTCGGTATTTTGATGATTTTAGCGACATTATTCAGCGGAATTGTCTCAAATTTGGTATTTGAAGTTCGTAATGCATACTACAGCCTAAAACAGGAAATTGTCTGTGCAGGCTCACGTCTTCGTATAGCCCCCATATAATAGCACCTCCCTATATTCGGTATTACGATGATATTAGAGTAATTATTGACCGGAATTGTTTCAAATTTGGTATTTGAAGTTCGTAATGGATACTACAGCCTTGGACAGAAAATTGTCTGTGCAGCTCCAAATTTAAGTATAGCCCACACAAAAAGTTAGCTCTCGATATTCGGTATTTTGATGATTTTAGCGACATTATTCAGCGGAATTGTTTCAAATTTGGTATTTGAAGTTCGTAATGGATACCTAAGCCTATTACAGAAAATTGTCTATGCAGGTTCACGCCTTCGTATAGCCCTCATATAACGGTACCTCCCGATATTCGGTATTTTGATGATTTTAACTACATTGTTCCGATTTTTTCTTCAAAATTTTTCCGATTTTTTCCCAAGTTTCGAATTTGAACATTGTAATGTCTTATGACAAATATTCAGATCCACGTCGTCGTATAGACCCTAATATAATGTCTAAATTCGGTAATATTAAGATTTTAACAGAATTTTAACGGATTTTATTCTTTTGAAAATTGCAAAATTCTTTCCAAATGGTAAAGGGTATTAATAGTTTGGCCCGACCGAACGTACAGCTTATTTACTTGTTTTTTTGGAATAACTTATTTTTTTACCTTACTTTTTTGTCATTATTTTTGAGATAATGGTAACGCAGAGGGTACAAGGTTGTCATTATTGCCGCTAAAAGTGGCACTGACGCCTAAAAAAATTTACCAGGTAACACTTCGGAAAAAAATTCGGACTGTGCGGGTCGTCCGACATATCTCTGTGGTCCCTAGATACACATTCCGGTCCAACCTTTAGGTGTTGCATCTAAAAAAATTCTTCTTTGAGATTTTTTGGTTCCAGTCTTGGATAACTTTGCAGAATTTTTTGCTCAAGAGTTGTCATAGTTTTTCCAAAACGTCCATTCCACTATGGGTAAAAAGCATGATTTTTTTGGCATAAAGTCATTTTTTTTTGGTTTCATATTTTGAAATTTAACTGATTTCCTAAATGTAGATACCCATATTAGAAAAAAAAATGTTTAATATCAATACGGGTGGCAACCCTTTTTTGCTGGCGAGCTTTTAAAGTCAGCTGTTTGAAAGTCACTTTGTTTTGGTACAACTGGCGGTAAAGATCAGCTAAGTTCAAGTGCTTCTGATTTGACAAAATTGAAAAAAAAAAAATAAAATGTGTAATTATGGAAAACGTTAGTGCAGGTATGTAAAATTAAGACGAGGTGCCCTTTTTGTCATAATTGTCTGTTGTTGTAATACTGTGAAATGTTTCGTTTATGTATAGCTTTATATAAAATCTATAAATTGTAGTTGTGTTCCGTGGAGTGTAACTTGTGAATGGCAAAGCATTGCAAAAAGGTATAAATGCCAAGTTATTAACAAAAGTGTGTTAAATAATGAGTAACTAACCTTTTTTGTTCTATTTTGTGCCAACACGTGTTTTGCAGATAAACACGTGTTTGCCCATGCAGCGCTTATTGAAATTTGGAGCAGCAACAAACGCTCAGAGGATGCACTAGTAAAATATGTGGTACAGAATATCAATAATATCACTTTAAATGAAGACCAAATGCGTTTGATATCAAAACAAGTTAAAAATTTTGTTAATTATATAAAAAAGCATTTGCCAAAGTGCAACCGTAAATTAGAGCGATTTAAAACTAAACATTCAAAGTGGCTTAGCAGAAGTATAATTATAGTAATGGATGAGCAGTATGTTTCCCCAAACAAAATAGGTCGCCCAAAATTAAATTATGAAGATGCTGGACGTGGAATGATGAGAAGTATACCCTCTTTTTATTTTAAACATAGCTAATGAATTTTGTTTTGTTCCCAGAATCAAAATAAATGTCCAACATACAAACCCAATCTACTTACGTAATATGAATTAATAATGATATAATTTGTATGTACTTTATATTGTATTAATATTTTATGCTTTTGAAACAAGGTAGGTCATCTTGGAAGAATAAAAAATGTATAAAAACCAAATTTCACTTCAATAGCTTCATAAACAAAAAAGTTGGGTCAAATCGGCCAGATCGGCTATATAGCAGCTATATGAAATAGTGCCCCAAATCATATGAAAATTGGTAGGTCATCTTGGAAGCATAAAAAATGCATACAAACCAAATTTCAATTCAATAGCTTTGAAATTAGAGTTTATGCCAAAATAAACGTAAAAAAACCCATAGTGCATTCCTCGGCTTCACCTCGCTAAGAGGATTTCTGAAATATTAAATCTAGTCAACCTTATTCTTCTCTTTTATCCTTGGGTTCTTTTTGTCTTCTACTTAAAAGTGTATCTCAGTTTTCATAGCCATAATCGGTTTAAAAAGTTTTGAAAGTGTTTTAAATATCACTTGGTTTTTTTGTTTATTTTTTTTTTATTTTCTTTTATTTTTGTTATTTTTGTGTTTTTTATTTTTATTTTTTTTGTTTTTTAAGCTTTTCTAAGACTATTTTCTCCCCCTTTTTCAGAAGGACATTCAATATTGGCAAGAGCTCGACGAATACTGGGGGTGATTGAAAAGCAAAACGGTGATTGAAAATAGGTACAGTATTAGCTTGATAAACGCAACAACTACAGTTGTAAAATGTGCTACAACTTTTTATATATAAAAAATATTCTGTTTATTAAAGTCGTTAAGAAGGCTTATCTTCCAAAAATGAAGAACTTTCGACTGTCTTATATCAGCAGCCTTAAAAGGTCGCCAAACCATAGAACTCATCATAAAATTTTATTACCAGTAATTACTCACAAAACCACATCCTAATGTCAAACTTCCACTAAGAGCCAAAATAATCAGTTGTTCACCTTAAAAAATCTACGGTTGAACTTCCGCTAACATCGCCAAACATAATTTTTTTGTATTGTTATTGCATTTGCCTCATTACATGGAATGAAGAAAGTAAGTTATTTAACCTTGCAATTTTGTTCAGGAATAATTCAGTTTAGTTTTTTTGGTAATGCATATAGTATGTAGTAGTCATTACCGGTAATGCGGACAGAGACACATATGACTACCAAAGTTTTGCTGTGAACAATTTTAGAAAACCCTCCACTCTTAGATGAGATTTTTAAACTATTTATACTCTAGAGGATTTAGGGCAATGACTTTTTGTTATAGACGACCTTGACAAAGTCTTATGAACACCGAACCCCTTGTGAGGATCTGGAACTTTAGAGCAAGGTCATTCTATCTCTGGAAGACCTCTAGAAGAATTTATGTCTTTAAAAGTTCCTTAGAAAGATGTTCTCCGTAATAAGTCTCTTTGTATTTTAATTTTAAAAGGTCTTCTCACCATAAAAACCTTTAAAAGACTTAGTTTTCTTTTTGCGTGTTGTTTGATAGCTCCAACGTATGACTAAACGAAATCTGAGAAAAGAGCATAGTTCCGAATTTCGTCATATTTAGATTAGACATCCGAAAAACATATATAAGTGATTCTTTCTTGCAGCCATAGATATTTCCAGACCTTCGAACAACTTCCCTAAATTTGAACAAAGAGTGGAACTCACTCGAATTCAAGCTAGAGCACTCCTGAGGCACAAGAAAAATGAGCAAACTCAATTTTTTGATGTCGCTCGAATAGGAGCAAGCATGTGTTCCTCGTTTTGGAGTGGAAGCAAAATATGTTCGAAATCGAGCAGATTTTACGCTCTTCGAGCACTCTTATAGTTTTTGTCATATCGTCGTTGTATTTTTATGTATGTGTATTTCTTCTGAACTCTCTCCCCTATTCTCCTTCTCTTCCCTTTCTTTTTCCTCTCATTTTCAGGCTTAGACCAAACTCTGGCCCTATTTTAAGCCATTCTGCTGCCACTCTTATTTTTCAAAAATGAGTGACTCGGTAGCGTTTTCACACAAAAGAACGAAGAATAGACTCCGTGAAAAACTCCCTCTCTCACAAAACAAAAGAGTGAAGAGTAGACTCCCTTTATTCGAGCAATCAAACTCGCGATCAAGTTTTACTCCCGAGTGGAAATTAGCAAATCTATGCTATTCTTTTAAACATCGCCTCGGCGTTAAGAGGAGAAGCCAAGTGTGCACATAACGACCGGAATATACCAAGTCGGCAAATATTTCTCGAGTTGGAAAATTAATATTTTGAGAAAAATTAAAAAAAAGAAGAGAGAGAGAGAGGGGCTGATGATATTTCTCTTTCCGAATTATTGAACATAATTTGAAGAATTTTTTTTGGTACCGGGACCAAAAGGGTTTTTTAAGAAAACATGGTCGTTTACACATTTCCGAATTCCTTCAGATTTCTGTCAGAAAATTCTGAATATAATCCTATATCCTCCTACGGACCTTTATGATTTTGGGAATGCTTTGAGACACCATAAATATGTAATTTCACCGCTTTTTTGTCTATAAAAAAGATCTTTAGGAGGTCCATAGGTATTTCATCCATAGAAGCGAATATATTTTATCTATGGAAGATCTTTAGGAGGTCCTACATTTACAGAAACCCTATAAAAGATCTCTGGGAGGTCCATAGGTATTTTATCCATTGAAGCGAATATATTTTATCTACGGAAGGTCTTTAGAAGGTCCTACGTTTACAGAAATCCTTTCGAGAGATTTTAGTCATTTTATCGTCATTCTGTCTATAAAAGATCTGTGGGAGGTCCATAGGTATTTTATCCATTGAAGAGAATATATTTTATCTATGGAAGATCTTTGCTAGGTCCTACAATTACAGAAACTCTTTCGAGGGATTTTAATGGCAACTATCTATATTAGGCCCCTAGGCGGTCTTTTATCTACAAAAGACTCCTGAGACAAGATTAAGACGAACTTCTCTTGACAGAAGATTAGAAAAAGATTTTTTCAAAAGACTTTTAAAAAGGAGGACCTACCTCTCTACAGGAGATCTAAAAAAGACCCTTTCCCCATATGAAACTGGTAAAAGGCTATCTATCTATGGCAGACCTTGATATGTTCTATCTATAAGTGACTTAGCATTTTTTTTATTTCGCCATAGAGGGTTTTTGCAGGTGTTCCTCTGTGAAAAAACCGTTAGCGGCTTTTCTCTCTATAGGTCTTGAGATGGTCCTCCAGAAATAGAAAGGTAATTAGGGCGTATTCTAATTTGAAGACCGTATGAAAGTCTTATATCTATAGAGGACGGTTTTCTCCAGAATGTAATTTCCATAGTAGATCTACGGAATACCTTAGAAGTACTTTTATTCTTAGAAGATATTCAATAGATATTCCTTCCATGGAGGGCCTTCAGCAGGTGTTTCCTCTGCCGAAAATTATTAGAGGGTCTTCTGCCTATAGAAGGTCTTCCAGAAATAGAAAGACCTTTTGAATGTTTGCTAGTTATAAAAGACCGCAAGAAAGTCGTATACCTATAGAGTCGTATACCATAAAGTAGCTCGGGAATATTATATCTATAGAGGACTTCTCCAGAATGAAATATCAATAGTAGACCTACGGAATACCTTAGAAGTACTTCTATTCTCAAAAGACATTCAATAGATATTCCTTCCATGAAGGGGCTTTAGCAGGTGTTTCTTCTGTCGAAAATTATTAGAGGGTCTTTTGTCTATAGAAGGTCTTGAGATGGTCTTCCAGAAATAGAAACACCTTTTGAATGTTTGCTAGTTATAAAATACCGTAAGAAAGTCGTATACCTATAGAGTCGTATACCATAAAGTAGTTCGGGAATATTATATCTATAGTAGACCTACGGAAGGTCTTCCCTCACAGAAGGTCTTCTATCCACAGAATATCCTTAGAAGTTCATCTACTCTTAGAAGACCTTTAATATATTTTTAATTAATTAAAGACTTGCATAATGACCTGTTTCTAGCTTAAATAGGTCTCCTCTGTACTAAACTCCTATACGGGATCTTCTCTGTTCCTTTTGAAGGTTGTCTCTTTAATCAAGAGCGTTTAAAAGTCTTTTACCCATTGAAGAACTTTAGAAGTTCTGCTTTCTTCATATGGCCTTTAGGAAGCATTCCTTTCATAGAGGACGATATAGAGTGTGTTGTATGAAATATACCGTTAAAATATGTCCTATCTATAGACGACCTTAACGGAACAGACTTTTTACAGAAATTTTGAAAAGGGTTCGTAAATGCCTATGTAGGTTTTCTGTCTTCAGGGGACCTATAAAATGTCTGTAAAATGTTGTTTATGTGTAGAAAATTGTTGAAAGGCCTCGTTTGAAATCCTTTAGAGGCATTTTTGGTAAACTGAGAATATACTGTAATTGTTTAGCTCCTTCCAAGTAAAAAATGACACTTTATGACCACAAACACTTGCCAAAAAAAAAAAAAAATAATAATATTTTTACCATTAAGGCAAAGCACTTCAACTTTTTTCATTTTCCAAAAAAGAAGACATAAAAGGTTGACTTTTTCCCTTTAAGTGCTTACATGGGGGACAGTGAGGCTGAATTTCATAGCAAAGAGGACAAAAGAAAAGGAAATCATTCTTTACCCTAAGAAGTAACAAAATTGTCTTGTTATTTTCTTTTGACTTTTTAAACATAACATAACAAGTTCACCGTTGCCATTTTAAGTAAATGAGTCAGTCAATGGGGGGAGGGTTGGGGACCGGGTGTACTTATCTTTTACATACCTTAAGGATTAAATGTTTTTAGCTTCTGTTACGTTTGTTGTTAACCTGGCGTGGGTGGGTGTTTTTAACCTGATGTTTGGGTGGGTGTGTGATAATGGTGGGGACTTGTGAGAATAGCACTTGGCCAATCCCTAAGGGAGACGTTGTCGCCATTTCATTAGCATAGAAAATGAGCTTCCCTTTAATTTGGACAATAAATTGTCGTTAAAAACAAAGATAATTTTCATTAATTTTTTAATAGAATGATAACATGCTAATATGGGGGTGGGATACGGCTGTCAAGAAAGTTAAATGATATTTTTGCAGTAGTTTTTATACCCTTAGCTATGTGGCTAGAGAGGGTATAGAGGGTGAGATGAAAAAAACTGCAACCAACTTCAGACTGCTATCATTTCTAAGCCTCTTGTCCGACAGCTGTAAAAATTATTCCAGTGACAGCTCATTATATTGTTTGCACGTGTACAGAAGCATTTTGGTGAGAATTTTCCAGAAAATAAGTTATTCGTAATGGAATTCAAGCGTGATGGTGTGATTTCTTTATATTTGGCTGGACAACCATTTAAATGTGAATAAATCTTTTGTGTCTCATACCAACGATCTTACAGCAACAGCAACATAAGCAGAAATGGTTCGACGAAAAGTAAAGAAGCGACTTGATCGAAACCCGCTTTGCAGTGGCCCAAAAATGGCTTGTGAGCTGAACATATCACAATATTCCATTCGGCAAATATTGAAAATGAGCTCGGGGTAAAGCCATTGAAATTCCAAAAAGTGCAAGAACTTACACCGCAACAGGAAAAAAATAGACTCAAAAGAGCTAAAGAGTTGCTTCGCTTGGCCGAAAGTGGTGAACTACCTAATTTGGTTTTCTCCGATGATAAAACATTCGTTGTCCAGCAGTTTGTAAACAAACAAAATTATCGTTTTTACTTGCCAAAGAGGTCAGCTGAAAA